ATTTTGCATGTTCTTAGAGGTCATTCATGCATGTTATTTAGTTCATGACATGTTCTAAAAGTTTGTTGAATTCCATGTGGATTTGTCTCCTATACATGCATGGTTAGCCACCCCTACATGCTCATCATCACATGATTGTCCCTTGTCCTTTGTATGACAACCAAGTAGTGTTTTGTTGCTAAAAAATCTGCCAAGAATGTGTGTTTGTTTACTGAAAAAACTGCCCCAAATTAGTACATAGTACAAGACACATTCCACCTTACAAAAGTTGCTTTTTGCATCCCACTTGTCCTTTTTGTCTCCTATTTTTTTGTCTAAAAGAATATGTTTTGTACTTTTAATTCACCCACAAGTGTAAAAACTAAGTAACATAACAAGGTTAAAATTCAAAAAAAAAAAAAAAACTGACCAAGGGGCTGCACCAAAAGCTGGCTGGAAAAATATAAGAGAAAAAAATTCAAAAGGAAATTGTTGCTAGACTTGTGGACAATTACCATTATACCCTTGCACACTTGGAGTTGGACTTGGACCATTTTTGGACCCATATTTGGCCCCATTTTATAACCAAAACCGTGGCTGGACAATAAGGAAGAGACCTTACACTAATTGATTTCATTTAAGGACAAGGAACCTTAAACACTTAATTCTATTCTAGAACCCTTCTAGGATTTTTCTTTGAGTGCTTGCCTTCTTAAATGTGTCTTAATTTTTTGCTTGTCTTTCTTGGAATTCCTTGTGTTTTGTCTCATCAATATTCCCCTTGAGTTTAGCCTTTCTATGATGGAAAACTTGTAGAGAAATTGGATTGATGTTGATTCCTCTTCAAGTTCCTCCCTAGATCTTCGGCTCTTTGATTCTTCTTAAGCTTCTCCAAGGTCTCTAATGGAGGAAGAGCTAATGGAGGAAGAGACCTTGGAAGCACCACGGTTTGGTGGAAAACTCTCTCAAGAGACGCCACTCCTTGGAGAAGAGATAAGTCTCTTCAATTCTCACAACACTCTTCTAGGAAAGGGATAAGAGAATTGGATGAATATCAAAGAGGTTAAGACTTTTAGAAGAGAGAAATATTGTTGAACAATTTTCGGAAATCACTCTCAATATATGCCAAAAGTTA